GGAGTATTCTGAGCTCTGGACTCCTGTCCCCCACACCCATGGTTTCTGGACAGCTGGATTCTCCCTCTTAATTTGGACACAATTTATCACGTTCATTACTTGTTTTCTTAACGGAAGCCCTTTGTGCCTGTTGTGGAGGGCATAAGGACCAGTCTAGCAGCAGGGTGGGTCCCGCCTGCGCCCGAGTCACCGTTGGGCACACAGCTCCGGTGCATTCCTGGGGGCGGCGGGTCGGGGACAGGCTCACGGTGAGGGCGTGGCTCTGGAGAGGGCCAGCCGGGGCTTGAACCCCGGTCTCCCTGCCTCCTCGGTCTGAGCTGTCCCACCAGTCCTAAGGCCAGTGGGGCTCGGGTCTGCTCTTGGTCCCTGAATGCGGCCTTGCCCACTACCCTGCTGTGCTCCGGCAAACGCTGGGCCCTAGTGAGGAGCTGTGAGTGTTTTGGGATCCGGCACTGTGAACACCCAGCTGCAAACCAGGACTCACAGACACCCCGGCCCGGGGACCAGGGTCCAGAGGCGGTGAGGTTTTGCATCCTCGTGGGAAGGGCTGGTCTGTGCAAACTGTTGGCGCTGCTGATCCCAGCATGTCAGTTGCTCTGTGTCCGAGACCTCACTCAAATATTCTCCCAGCTGCAGCATTTCTGAGTATCGAGGGAAGAACTCATACGAGGAAGACGTCAAGTGATGCTGACTTGGGCAATGTGAGATTAAAAAATAAGCTAGCCCGGCCAGAAGTGTCTCAGGGTTAGAGGTCCATGCCTGGGAGGACCGGCCCCACGGTCCCTCTGCTGTGCACACGGCGCCCCCTGCCGGCACGACTGCGAGCCTGCAGGGCGGGGCGAGATAGTGGGTCCTTGCAGGGAGATAACTGCCATTTTTGCAAATGCAGAGACCACTTCATTTCAGGATAGAAATGTCTGCCAGTAAAAAAGCCGGATTGCTGAGTTGTGGAGACCCCCGACAGCCAGGTCCTACTTTCTAGTGGGTCCCAAATCTGCCTCCGCTCCCCACGCTGTGGGCAGGCACCAACCTCCCTCTGCCCCGTAGAAGCTAAAAATAAATGAGTCAAAGGCAACGTATTCATAGAAAAGCTGCAGGAATGTGGTTTTAAATCGTCCTGGAGATAAAACTTGGAATATGTTCTTTTATTTCCAGCCACTGAAACCGTAGTAAAGAGTCACGTGAGTTCACACCATGCACTTCGGAATTGAAAGCCAAACCGTTTGAAAGGACTATCAGAGGAATGTTTTTGGCAGGTGGGAGGTCTGAGCGCCGAGTCAGTAACCACGGTCAATAAGACAGGAATGCCAGGTTAAATGGACACGCTGGTTATAAAATGCATCCCAATTTCAGAAACATTGACACACGGAAGAGAAATAAGACACAACAACATGTTGCCGGTGGTCGCCTCAGCGTGGGAGCGTCATGGAAATTTTTCTATTTTTCAATCCTTCCATGTTTGCCTACAAAGAACATGACTACTGCTAAAAGTGGGAAGAAACAAACGAACACTAGAGAAATGGTGGAGAATGCAGGCAGGTGTTGGAAACTGAGGGTGTTGGAAACTGGGGGGCCGTTGACCGTGGAGTCCAACCCGTCGCCTTTCGCTGAAGGGCTCGGCTGTCGGCAGCAAAAACGAAACCGCAGAAGACAAACATCACATGGTATCTCTTATATGCGGAGTCTAAAAAAGTGACACAAACAAACTCATTCACAAAATAGAAACAGACTCACAGACGTAGAAAACACACTTGCGGTGACCAGGGAGGGGAAGCGGGGGAGGGATAAATTAGGAGTTTGGTATTAACAGATACGCCCTACTGTGTATAGAACAGACCAACAACGCGGTCCTCCTGGACAGCGCAGGGAACTGTATTCAGTACTTTGTAATGGCCTATGATGAAAAAGAATGTGAAAAAGCACATATATGTGTGTAACTGAATCACTCTGCTGTACAGCAGAAATTAACACAACGTTGTAAGTCAACTACACTTCAGAAGAAAGGAAGGAAGGAGGAAGGAAGGAAGGAAGGAAGGAAGGAAGGAGGAAGGAAGGAAGGAAGGAGGAAGGAAGGAAGGAAGGAAGGGAAGGAAGAAAGTTCAATACTGTGCTTTGGTGCAGCATCTCAGCTCCCAGACCCTCGAGTGCTGTGAAATATCACTACTTCACTATTTACCAAAACAAGACGCTATGGCCACGCCCAAGGCCTGCCCATGGAGACCTCCTGTAACAGGGAAACCCGCGTCCCCGAGTCAGTTTCACAAGTTTCTCTGTATTTCATCTGTGGGGAGAGACTTCTCCGGGCCTTAAGCCTGCAAAGAAAGGTAGGGTGTCCCAAGGGGGGTGCATTCCGTGGTCTGGAGGGTCCCCCCTGACGGTCCGTCTGTGCGAGCAAAGATATGGTTTGCTCAGAGTTACAGAGGAGAGTAACCCCAGCCCCGGAATGCTGAGGTCTGGCCCCAACACGGGCGTGAGCTGGCTGCGAACAGCGCAGTGGCCCAGGTCCTGAGAGATTTCCTTTGTAAGCTCATTCTGGACAGCTTTGATTGAGAGAACGTTCATCCTGGGAGAACTTCCCACATGAGCAAATGCAGACACAGTGTGAAGATGCACATGGAGATGCCTCTGTAAAAAAGACACATTTAAATTAGCGTTTCACAGACCCAGCAAACCGTCTTTAATTGAACCAAGCTTTTAAATCCCCATGTGGAAATTTCTGAGGTTTGAGGTAAGCGTTGAGTTCAATTTTTTGCACATGAACATCCAATTTTTTTCTGGCACCGTTGTTGAAAAAGGCCGCCCCTTCTCCGTTGGGTTGCCTAGTGCCTCTGTCAAAAATCAGCTGAGCACAGCTGTGTGGCCCGTTTCCAGGCTCCCTGTCCCACCCCATCCACGTGTCTGTTCTGTGGCCAGTCTCCCGCCATCCTGACTCCTGCCACTTCGCAGTAAGTCCTGGTGTCGGCAGCGTCCGCCCTCCAATTTGTTCCTCTTTTCCAGGATTGCTTTGGCTATTCCAGTCCTTTGCTTTCCATACACATTTTAGAATCGGTTTGTCAGTGTCTATAAAAAAAGCTTGCAGGGCTACCCGGTTGGGACCACATGGAATCTACAGATCAAACCGGAAAGAGCCGACACCTTGGCAGTAAGTCAGTCTCCTGGTCCATGAACATTGTATAGCTTCCCAGCTGATCTACTGCGCTGGTGTTTTGTGGTTTTCAGCGCATGAATCCCGCATGTTTTCTGAGATGTCTGCCTAAGCGCTTCATTTCTTTGAGGCCACTGTAAACGATACTGCTTCTTCAGACGTTAAATTTCGGTTTCATCACTGCTGTAGAGCAGCACGATAGCCTTTATATTGACGTTCCTCCTGCGACCTTTCTAAATGTGCCTGTTAGTTCTGGGAGCCTCTTTCGTTAATTATGTGGGATTTTCCGCCAGGCTATTCATGTCATCTGCCAACAGACTGTATTTTTTCCTTTCACATCTGTAGCTTTTAATTCCTTTTTCTTGCCCTATTGCACTGGCTAGGACTTCCAGCGTAGCTCCAATCATTTGCTGATAGTCGGGTTTTTTCCATGAATTCTGTCACACTTTTTTTTTTCTGCATCTACTGAGATGATCATGTGACTGTTCTTCTTTAGTCTGTTAATATGGTGGGTTAGGTTAACTGTTTTCTTCCCACATCTTTCAACCTACAGGCAGCGCCTCCATCTCTGTTTGGTTTCTCTGCAGTGTGTCTGCTGACAGGACTGGCTCTTTACCACCTTGCTTCCTATGGGGACTCCCGAGTGCTTGCTCACTGTCAAGGGCAAACTGGCACAGAAGTGGGTCAGATTAAGATCAGGTGACAGGTGCCTCCATCAGGAGACCCACAAGGACTGGCTGCTTCTCTCTCTCACGCCGTCCGTTGTGGCTGATTGATGCTCTCTCCTTCATTACAGTCAAGCTGTCATCCCTCATCTGCCTCCGTCCATGAGCTGGACACCTCTGCAGGGAGAAGCAGGCCCTCTGGTTACCGGGTTTCCCAGGGCCACGGTTTGGACGGGGCAGCCAGGACTGACACTTCGTCACCTTTTTTCCAGGTTTTGGAGCTGTTCCCGGGCCCCCGCCAGTGCTGATCAGTCACACTCCTGGTGTCATCACACGCTCGCGGCTGCATGCACACTTTGTGAGTGTTACCGTTCCTGATTTGATTTCAAACGCCCCGTCTCTGAGCCAGGTGAGCCTCTTCAAACTGGCTTCTGAGTCAGGTGGTCACAAATTGCTTCCTTGCTTGAGAAACGGCCCAGGAATACCTTGTGCATTTTCTGTCACAGACCTGAAGTCAGGAATTCCAGCGGTTCCTGGTTCTTCTTGGTGGGAAATGGTGTCTACAGAGCCGAATCTAGGGGCCAGGGCTGCACATCACTACTGGGTTGCTTCTAGGCCTTTTCTTGGTGGACACACGTAGAAATACGTATTTTCCTTAAAAAACAATTGTTGCCCCCACGGCCCTTCTCTCCTGAAGTTTGTGGAATCCATGTAGGTCCCTCGCTGGCCAACAGGACTGGGAGCCCTGCAGAGTGACGGCACCTCCCAGGACACCGGGTGGGAGGCACCGCGGCCTGAACTTGAGCAGGAAAATCAACCACGTCACTGGGGGTGGGGGGGACGACGCTGGGCCAGAACCTGTCTCACATGCAAGAACTTTCCTCTCAACTCTTTGGGCACAAAAACAGTTTCTGCACAACCTGAAAACCAGTGATCAAGTGAACCTGACGGACCACTGGGGAGGAGGGCGGAGGTGCACAGACGTGGATGGGGCCGGCCGCGACCCGCTGAGGGGGAGACAGGGCCCCAGGGACAGTGCCAGCCCCACAGCACTGTTTCTGCCCGTTTTGATGGCGACACCAATTCCGAATGCACGAGGATTTGCACAACTTCGATAAGAAAGTTTAAAGTCTGGATAAATAAACAATGTTTTCAGTGTCTTAAAGGTGAAAACAAAACAGACACATGAATAATATGAAGAAATATGTTTATACAACTGTGCTTCATTAACTCAGTTCTAGGTAATATATTACACAAGGGGAAATTCAGTGAAGCCCACAGGGTCCTGCCGCTGTGAAGACCGGGCCAGACGGCTCGGGGCGCATCCCCCGGCGGCCTCTCCAGCTCCCGAGCAGGGTCCCTGAGCCCAGGCCCGGTCAGCTGGGGCTAAGACAGCGCGGGGATGAAATACTGCAGGGAGACGTCCTCGTGGAGCAAGTCGAAGTGCACCATCTTGTTGCTCACAATATCTAGGCAGAGAGGACGGCCAGCATCACTGGGGAGGCCCGTCCCGCACACTGCAGCCCCGAGTCCCCGAGCAGGGACCCAGAGGACCGACCGGCCGGACACTCCTCAGGACCACGCGGGGCCAACACCTGGGGGAGGCCACACTCCTCCTGAAACATCCTTGGCAAGGGAGCCCTTCCTCATGCGTGATGGAGGCATGGTGGAGCCAGAGCAGGCGTGAACCCGAGGGGGACGGGCCAGCCAGAACCAGGAGGCCATGGCGAGCAGCCGGGAGTGGGGACTCGGGCCAGCGCGGGCCCGGTTCAGACACAGGGAGGAAACAAAGACAGAGACGGGAATGCGCCCGTGAACCCGCGGGGGCCGGGACACGCCTCCTGCTCTCAGCGGCCTCTCTTGGGGCCTAGATCATCCCCAGTGGTGGCCACAGGCCTCGGGGCGCAGAGCGCTCTGCAGGCGTGTCCTCCAGTCTCAGGAGAGCCCAGAACACCCGACCACCCCAAACCCCAGAAAACAGGGCCACGTTACGAGACCCCGTGAGAGCCCAGCTGATCAGGGCGTCTGAACGGGCGGGGCATGCTCACTGCACGTGGCCTTGGAGGGGTTCCCCTGCTGCCCGGCGAGGAACTGCAGCAGCTTCCGGACATCGACGTGCACTTCAGTCATCCGTTCTGGGTCGTGGTCCTGAGAGGCGTGTCCAGAGGCTAAAATGACAGGAGCATTTACCACACAGGACCTGCAGGGTGACAGGGAACCCAGGGGGACAGTCCAGCCCACCCTGACCGCAGCAGCCCGCAGAAACCCTGCAGGGGGCCAGCACACTCACTTGTGGAGCAGACGTTTACGGAGCCCTGACTCTTCCAAGTCCCACGCTAATCTCTGGGGAACTTCCCTTACAGGGACCCGAAATGCGACCCACGCTCCCTCTCCGGGTCACAGAAGCGGGCGTCTGGGCCCTCGTGCGCACTGGGGGCTCAAACACAGACGGCCGCGCAAGGCCTCTGGTTTTACGTGGAGCGAAAAGGAAGAGAGCATCCTTCCGACTCTGCGAAGGCGTCCAAGATGAGCCCCCTTTGTCATGCATTAAACAAAACAACGGGGCCCGAAGTCTGTCACTTCGCACCAGCGTCACAAAGCTTCACGCTCCTGGCCACACTGTGCGCCAACTGCTCCTCTCAAGGCCCCTGTGACGCTCCCGAAACTGCCGTGATAAGCAACCCGCCTGTACAGACTGTAACTGAGGGTGTGAGACGCCTTGTGACATCTGCCTGGAGCACACGCGGGACTAAGACGGTTTTCACACGAGTGAGCACCTTCCCCCGGCGCCTCGGCCTCGCTCCCCGACGGCCCGGCCACCCTGGCAGCTCGGCCACAACGCTCACCACCCGCTGAACTGAGCGCGGGGTCCCGCGACAGAGCTGGTCACGTTAGCCCCGTTTCTGACTCTGCCCAGACCCAGGGGAGGGGCTGCCGTCTGCAGGGGCAGGAGCAGGAGGCCAGGAGCTGGAAGGGCCTGGGAGGCCGTCTCCGCCCACCCCAGACCAGCCCCCAGCTCCTCGGGGCGGCGGGCCAGCGTCCCCACCACGCCGCAGGGTCAGCGACACCTCGTTCCCGCCCCGAGCACGAAGCACGCTCAGCCCGATTTCACCCACTTCCCACGGAGAGGCCTCGGGCAGGCGTCACCTGAAACGATGAGCTTACCACGAGCAGAGCACAGCCCACCAGGAAGCTCACCTGGCGGCGGGTTTCCCAGATCTTTAAAGTGGGTTGTGACAGACACTAGCTCGGTTTCTATTCTCAAGTTCAATTCCCCGTTTAGGTTTGCTTCCATAATCTGCAAATTGAGTATTTTACAGTCTTAGAAAAGGAAAGCAAAAGGGGGAAGAAAAGAAATGTGGACATTAGCTTCCAGCAGACCAGGTGACGAGACAGCTCCACAAAACCCAGGCCCTTCCGACAGCCCCCAGCCCGCACAGCCCCGGGACAGGGCGGAGCCGGGCCTGAGAAGCAGCCCCACGCGGGTTTCCGCACACGCGGGGCCGCTGTCCCCTTCCACCCGGGACTCCAGGCCGCAGCAGCCAGTCCACACAAGTCTGACTTGTGCAAGCACGCCAGGGGAGGGGAGGCCCCCGATGATCTGATCTGAGCCACCGTGCTGACTCACCTCCCCTGGGCCCAAAGAGCAAACAACTGGACCCTCCCATTAACGGCCCTCCCCTCTCCCTCCTGGGCCTCTCAGAGTCCCTCAGGAGGCCCCCAGGAGGTGCCCGAGGGAGCCTGCCTCCTGACAACTGGATCCACAGCCAGGCCTGCTGCCTCCTTGAGTCCACATCAAGTGAGTCACAGTGAAGCCTTCGAGGAGGAGGTCCTGAAAGCAAGCTACTGTCACGGAGCACGGCTGCACAGACAGAACGGCCCCCAGTTTCTAGGCTTCAGAAAACTCGGAATTCCAGAGATCTCTCCAGGCTGAACTTCACTCCAGGTCCACGCGCGAAGAGCTATTCGCTGCCTACTGAGTGCCAGCCCCGCGGGGGCGGCCACGCAGGTGGACAGACAGCCGCCCTTTCCTGGAAGCTGCCCGTTCAGGAGGGGATCAGGAGGGGCTCAGGAGGGGTTCCGAGACGCTAACAGAGCGGCTCCTCAGGACAGGAGGGTCTTCCGGCCGGGGGTAGGGGGGAGCACGACTGGGAGTTATGACAAACAGTGAGAGAGGCTAAGCGTTCTCCAGGCCCAGGCTGGGGAGGCGAGGCCGAGAGTGATGGGGCAGATACAGAGCCGGGAAGATCCGGCACCGTGGGGGGTCTGGAGTTCTGCAGGGGGCGGGCCTGCGGCAGGTGACGGGGCTGCGGGCGGTGAGGACCATGTCTACACTCCGCAGGTGGATGGTGGTTTCTCAAAGACCCAGGGACACAATTGAGTGAGTTCTGGGGGGGGGGTGAGTGAGGAACTCAGGAGCGCCCCAGGAGGGGACGAGGGAGCCCGCACAATCCCCCATCACTGTCCCACACAGCCTGTCGAGACAGCGGTAGTGAGCAGACCTTCACAGATGTAAACGGGAAGTAAACGTGTCCCCAGACCTGGCCCAGGAGGAGAGAGGTGTGTTCTGGGGGCTCTGTCCTGGGCCACTGGGGCATCTGGCAAGTGGACAGGACACTCGGCCAGTGTCAGTGATCATAAAAAAATATGCACGTTAGCAGATTAAATACGTAATATTTTGCCCAAAACTTAAAGACAGAAAGCTTGAAGTGCCAAATATATATATATACATATGTGTATATATAACATTTATTTTTATTTTGGGGGGAGGGGAATTAGGTTTATTTATTTTTAGAGGAGGTGCTGGGGATGGAACCCAGGACCTCCTGCATGCTAAGCACGTGTTCCACCACTTGAGCTACACCCTCCCCGCTGAATACATTCTTAACACACCGCCCGTGTGGACAGGAGGCAAGAGGCGGACGCGAGTGAGGAGAGCCGAGCGCACTGGACAGGTCTGGAAGGGCGCCTTACGCCCGCAGGCTCCCACCCAGAGGCCCGGCCCCGGCGCACCAAGGGCACCCAGCTCCCCCCGGGCCAGGTTCCTCCCGGGACCCGCGGCCCACACCGAACACTTGGGAACCCTCTTTAGAGAAGTTGGAGCTTACCAGGTGGTTGCTAATGTTTTTCATCTTTTCCACAACGCTCTTCATGGTCTTCAAGACGGGTAAATAAATACTAACCTATAAAGCCAACGAGAAACATCCGAAGTATTAACAATCTCACCACGGCCAAGTTCTGACAGGTGCTCATGTGTGGAACGTGTGTATATGCTTAAAAGCTCTGGAATCCGTGTTTTTAAATCGTCTGAATAAAGTCCTTTTTAAACTATGCATAGAAAAATAATCCTACAACTTCACTAACTCAGGCCCGCCTCCGGCTGGCTCGGGGACCACACCCCGGGGCATTCTTCTGGGTCGGGGTCCCGCAGAGGCCACCCCGAGGGGTGCACGCCCAGACTCAGGGCCGTCCCCGCCGCCGGGTAGATGCCTTCTAGTAAAAGCCAGGTAAGTGTTCCATTCAGTATATTTTCATGATCTCTCCTTCCACCAGTGGTGCCCTTAGTGGCTCTGGATTCCCAACAGGGGAAGCAGAGCGGCCTCCCTCGGGGCCCGGACGCCTCCGGGACCCACTCCTCACAGGACAAGGACAACAGCGAGCTCTGTGACGCCCAGGCCGGGGCAGCCCCTCCTGGTAGGTACAAGAGCCTCCGCACTACTGCACTTGACTAGTAAAAAAAATAAATAAATAAAAAAACAAACAAACAAACAAAAAAAACCAAAAAAAACCCAAGAGCCTCCGAACACTACTTTCGTGCGGCTGAGGTGCCAGCGTCCAGGGCAGTCTCCCTGACCTGTGGAGGGCGCGGCATTTCCATCACACACAGCGCTGTTCTAAGGTGTTCTATGTAAACAGCAATGGGCAAGTACATCCACGTTTTTTCCTGGTGCATCCTTTAAAAATGGACACCACTTTCTTCTCAGGTACCGTACAACTGTCCAACAAAACGTGCGGCAAGACTCCGGCCAGCACCCGAGAGCTCAGATCCCTGTACCAACACGAGCGAGCGGCAGGGCCCCGGGCGTCACTCACGTCTGCGGCCGGGACGGTGGGCTCCTGCAGGTCCCTCCACAGCCTTCTTGGAATAACCTTCACGGGGATGTCGTGTGTCACCACGCGACTACTGCTCGACACAGATAACTGGCAAGAGAAGAAATGAAAGACCCTTTATAATGTCAATACTTAAAATAAGCAAACAAAAAAAGAACTTAAAGACACGAAACAAGTGACACCAAATCCAAGAGAACGTCCTTGGGTCGTTTATTGCCGCCACTGGGCACACAGCGCGGTGCGCGTGCTTGGTGCTGGGTCCTGGGGTGGGGGAGCGGGCAGGGTGGTGGACAGACAGGCGTGTCCCCGGGGCACTAAGGGTCAGTAAGGAGGAAAAGGACACAGGAAGCCAGATGGGCTGCCCGCTGCGCACTCACGACAGCCTTGAGGAAAGTCAGACGAGGGGAGCATGTGAGGAGGGTCTCAGACTGGCAGGGCTTGTCTGAGCGGGGAGGGCTTGGGTCGCACAGGACAGGAGAGGCTGCCAGCCGTGGGACAACGAGGAAGAAGGGGACGGCACAGGTGAAGCCCGGAGAAGGGACAGAGGGGCCGTTCTGTGAGCTCGGGACCCCCAGGGCACTGCAGAGGTCACACTGCTGAAAACATAAACCAGGCCTGACTGTGCAGGGGGTCTGCGAGCCTTGGGACAGACCAGAATCTCCTGCACGTCACTGGCTGGCTGGTCCCTAGGCACTGGAGAGCCACAGCACTGACACGGGGCTGTGAAACCCTATCCGCTCTAACTGCTCAGCAGCCTGACTGCAGGGAGCCCAGGGCGAGCGAGGAGGAAAAGCCGAGGACTCCTTCCCCTCTGAGCATGGAACCCAACACGCGCTCCCGCGGAGAATAAGGTGGCACCACACGGAAAGGAGGAGGGCAGGCCGGGCGGAGGCGGCCCCGCGCTCAGCACGGAAGGAAGAGGCAGCTTCAGAGGGAGAAGGGGAGAGACCACGGAGCGCCCCGCGCCACCCACGTCCGGTCTGGTCATTAGGGAAGAACCGGACGTGCCCACAGCCACTCCGAGCGCAGGGGTTGGCGACGTGGCTCCAGGACGGCTGGGCCATCCTGAAGGGCGTGGGACGTGCTGGTGGAGGCGTGAGCTTGTCCTCTGTCCCGGGGCACGTGTGCCCTGGAAGAGCGTGCATTAGCTGTCATCACGGATGAATGACAGACTGAGGAGCAGAGGTCACCGAACACAGAAGTGTTAACAGCAGATGAGGCGGGGGGGGGGTGGTGTGCAGAACACTTCAAAGGTGGAAGTGGACAGAAAGCGGCGTTTCTAGACTAGGTGGCAACACCATGGACAGAAACGGAGATGCGCGGACACACGGGCCTGAGAAGACGCGGAAGCGTCACGTCGTGGGAAAAGCAGCTGCCTCGGTGAGCGTCAGCCCGTCACAGGAGTACTTAAACGCATCTTCCTACGTGACCCGGCTCCAGCGGAGAATGAGCATTTCTGTGCAGAGCTTTCATTTCAGTCAGACCGACCAGCCCCCCACACCGTGGAAGCCCAGGGTCACAGCCACGCCGGACTCCGGGGCGTGCCAGGAGCCTCCCCGCCTGCTCACCAGCTCGATGGAGACCGTGAGGCAGGGGAAGTGCTTGTTGGTCAGCTTGACTTTCAGGGCTCTGGCATTCTGGCCAGTCTTCAAGGCTCGAGACAGGTTTTCCGACGTTAGCTCTAGGTAGATCTCGTTGTTCTCCGCGGAGACGCCTTCCATCTGAAATTCGCTGAAGAAGTTCTCCTAAGGGGGACAAGGGGGCCATCTGTGCCCCTTCCGGCGGCACGGGGGGGCCCGCAGGCCTCTCGGGACCTCCCACTCACCTGTTCCAGCTCACACCACATGCTCACCCCGCCGCTGGCCACCTTGTCAGAGAGCACGAAGTTCAGCTTGTCGGGGCTGATGCGCAGAGTGCAGGTTTTGGCAAGCTTGGCTATCATGGTGCTGACTCCTAGAGCAAGCGGCTGCAGTCAGGAGTTACTACGAGGCCGCCACCTTGGCCCGCAGAGCTCCCAGCTTGAGCCGCGAGCTTCCGGGGGGAAACGACGTTCACGCCGGTACCCACGGGGTAGCCTGCAACTCCGCTGAGGTCACGCCAGCCTCTAGCAGCCCCGCCAGGTCGGCGTCACGCGCCAGTGTTGGAGTAAGGAGGTCAGCTGGCGCCTAGCGGGCGCATTCCCTCCTTCCGCACACAGCCGGGCGCTGGGGAGGGCAGCGCGGAGCTGCGCACAGGGGGCGGAGGGACCCACGGGCCGGGCTGTGAAGGGAGGTCTGCGCGGGATAAAGCTGTCCGTCGCGGCGGTAAGGAAAGCCACGCGATAGGACTCAAGTTCTAGAAACAACCCCTGGTACCTGCTCCTCTGACCGCAGGTCCCCACCAGGCCCGCCCCCGTCCCCTCCCCCGGTCTCCGCCCTCCGCCCCCAGCCCCACCCCCACCCCGCGCCCCGTTCCCGCCCTCATACGCCCGCGGTGCCCGCATTCCAGCGCACCCCGGTCCTCCCGGCCTCC